GCATCACAGCTCACACCAACATCCAACTCCTGGGCTCAAGTGAGTCTCCTGCCTCAGCTTCCCAAGTAGCTGTGACCACAGGTGCCTGCCACAACACCCGGCTATTTTTTGGTTGCAGCCATCATTGTTGGTTTGGCGCCCGGGCTGGATTCAAACCCACCACCTTAGGTGTATGTTGCTGGCACCTTAGCCACTTGAGCCACAGGCGCTGAGCCTAAACACTGACTTTCAATTACCTGGAATTAAATTTCCAGCCTTTTTTGCAAAAAAAAACAAACAAACAAAAAAAAACACATATGAAGCCCTATTAAACATAATATATATGTATACATACTTTGGTAGGATGAAATTCTGAGGCAAAAGGGTAATAGAAAGATGTTTAGGAAGAAACAGTCATCTAAAATAGCTCACTGTCAAAAGACCAAAATTTATCAAATTGATAATCCAATAGATACCCTTTAAAAGATTGATAGAACGATTTTGATTTTTAAGAAGTCCTATGTAGGGATTTGCATCCTCACAACTATTAGAACTTATGATAAAAATGTTTAAGATAACGACTTTAAAACACGTGAAGTTTTCATGTAGGAAATATGAAGGGGGGAGGGAGAGGTGGTAACAGGCATTGTGGCCGAAGATGTCGGTGTGGTGACGTTTCTTCCCCCAGCCCCCGCATGCTACTGGCTCCCTTTGGCGACATGGCGAGGGGGAAAAAAAAGATCTTTTACTGAATTTTATTGAATTTTTATTTCTTGCCAGAAACGTTGAGAATGAGAATTATTTAGAGTTTTTGTCAACAGCTCGAGGAAGCAATTATTAGGAATCTTTTTTACAAATAAGCCAAGAAAAGAGTAAGTTTCAAAAGAGGGTAAAAAAGGAATTTCCAAAAGGAAAATTCTTCATGCCAAAGCGTTTTCCTGCGCCAAAATGGGCACTTTCCAAATAAACGCCAGGAATTTGGGAGGAATGAGGGGGGAAATTTTGTGTTGCTAACGCTCCACATAAAATAATGTGGCTGTCAGCTACATTTGCTTTAAAAGGGCATTCTTTTCCTCTTAAAATAACCCTTTCCCCGCCCCCCAGCAGTGGGCTTGCTCATTTACGCCCAGCTCCTGCAACTCAGGGCGCTATATCGCCGCTTTTCGATTTCCCTTTCAATTTCAAACATCCTGCCATCTCAGTATCCTTCCCGGCAAATAATCTCTGGCAATGTTCAACGCCTCAGCATAAAGGTATTTGTCTAATCCAGGCAGGGATAAAAAATGTCTAAGAGAAAACACAAGAGCCAAGCTCCACTACCAGAGCATCCTGACAACACCCTGAGCCTCACGGATCTCGGAATCTAGTGCCACCTCCACCTTACCCACAAAAAAAGGGGACCGAGAGAAGTGAAGATTGGCACAGGGTCATGGGGGAGGGGGTGGCCCTCGTGCTTCACCTGCACGGGGCACTCCAAGCTCAGATGGAACTGGCCCTGGGTAGGGTGTAAACGCTCTTGTCAGGAAAATAGCCTTTCCTATTAAAGAAAAGCTGAAGCTAAAGGTTCGTATTTTTGAGTCATGATACGTTAATAGCTGAGGGGAGGCAAGGGTGGACACAGCGGCATCCTCGATCGCCTCCCCCCACCCCCCATATTACCAAGCTATTTCGCTTGGTCACGGTTTCCATCCCAGGTTTCTTTAACCAGCGGTTATTCTCACTTTCCCTTCACACGCACACACGACTCAGGCCCAGCCGCACTCACTAACCAGCATTACCCCTATGGCTCACACAGACAAGTTACGTAACACTTAACTGTGTTCAAAACCCTTTCTCGAAGATGTGGGTGGCTCTGAAAAGAGCCTTTGGGTTCGGGGCGCATCGCCGGGCGCTTCACTTGGAGCTGGTGTACTTGGTGACAGCCTTGGTACCCTCAGACACAGCGTGCTTGGCTAGCTCCCCGGGAAGCAGCAGGCGCACAGCCGTTTGCACCTCGCGGGACGTGATGGTGGAGCGCTTGTTGTAGTGCGCCAGGCGAGAGGCCTCGCTGGCAATACGCTCGAAGATGTCGTTGACAAAGGAATTCATGATGCCCATGGCCTTGGATGAGATACCGGTGTCTGGGTGTACCTGCTTCAACACCTTGTACACGTAGATAGAATAGCTCTCCTTCCGGCTGCGCTTGCGTTTTTTGCCGTCCTTCTTCTGCGCCTTAGTAACGGCCTTCTTAGAGCCCTTCTTCGGGGCCGGAGCAGATTTTGAGGGATCAGGCATGGTGGCGTGTCTCTCCGAACAGAAACGAACGTGGAGAGAAAGAACTCTATTTGTACGTCTTGTATTCAAATAAAGGATTGGAATTCGCCCACTTCTGATTGGATAAAACGTCGTTCGCGTCATCGCTAGGAAAGGCATACGCAAATTAGGAGAAGCTGACTTCCCTTTCTGATTGGCTGCCATAGCTAACCAATCAAACGGCGCCGTCTAGCCTACCTCCAGACCATATATAAGGGCTCGCTGTGGCCCGCCGCCCTGTTGTTTTTTGTACGGCTTGTCGGTTTTTGTGGTTCTCTGTTCTCTAATCGGAGATGTCTGGCCGTGGGAAGCAGGGCGGCAAAGCGCGTGCCAAAGCTAAATCGCGATCATCCCGCGCAGGCCTGCAGTTTCCTGTGGGCCGAGTGCATCGCCTGCTCCGCAAGGGCAATTACTCAGAGCGCGTGGGCGCCGGCGCTCCGGTCTACCTCGCTGCGGTGCTTGAATACTTGACAGCCGAGATCTTGGAGCTGGCGGGCAACGCGGCGCGGGACAACAAGAAGACACGCATCATCCCGCGCCACCTACAGCTAGCCATCCGCAACGACGAGGAGCTCAACAAGCTGCTTGGCCGCGTGACCATCGCGCAGGGCGGTGTCCTGCCTAACATCCAGGCCGTGCTGCTGCCTAAGAAGACCGAGAGCCACCACAAGGCCAAGGGCAAGTGAGGCCCGCCGACCCCCGGCTCCCTTTTACGGACACCAAAGGCTCTTTTCAGAGCCACCCATACCTTCAAGAAAAGAGCCACACTGAATCCGCATGTCTGGCGTGGTTCTCTATTAAGGAGCGCGTCAGCTGTAGGGGAGGGCGCAAATGGCAACTGGGACTCCAGGGCTGAGGCATCCTCGCCAGGTAGGCAATGTTTGCCCTTTGCGGCAGGAAACACTTGCCCACAGGTGGCCACCCCTTTTGAATCTTCACCCAAAATCTCCCGTGGAATTTTAGTCCCGCCCACCCTAAAGGTAGCAACATGAGTACCTTTGACTCCTGAAGGGCTCTAATTGGGACAAGTCCAGGATGTTTTTCGCCATTCCAGAGACAATCGGGTTGATTTGTCTAATTAAAAAGTTTTTTTTTTTTAAAGAATTTGCTATTAAAGTTACTATAGGTGAATCTTGGAAGTTCCATTTAACACGTAAATTTAGATAGCCGATTTTTTAACATCGTAATGTTCCTGAGAGTTAGGATTTAATTTGTTGGGTTGAAATTCTAAGGATCGTGAAAAGGGTTCAATACTTTAAAAGAACCAAATTATTAGATCTCAAAAGGACGTGTAAACATGTGAACAGGAAAATTACCAGACGGAATTTGGATTGGTCAAATGAAGATGGGAGAACAAAATAATTTGTACATTGAATTTGATAAGGAAAACTAGGTTTGTGAGGTTAGCAAACTTAAATATTGTTAGAATCAGGTTAAGTAGTGTCTGTGAAGTCCACGTTACAAAATAAAGGAGGATTGGAGAGTTCCAGAGATCTTGGGGAAAAATCAACTAAGAAATGGTTATGTTAATGGCACTTGCCTGGGGTTGGGGGGAGAGATTAGTAGGATTAATCCGTGATAATCCCTTAAAAATGCCTGCTGCAACTAGAGCTCAGTAAGTGTTACCTTTGTTCCTGTTAAGGTTATCTATAGTTATCTATACTTTTAGATCTTTATGAAAATATGGATGATTCCTACTTTTACTTTTTATTTTTTAATGGACACAATTTTGTACACATTTATGGGGTACATAGTGATGTTGCTAATACATGTATGGTGTTCAGGATAGAGTAATCAGCAATTTTTTGTTGTAATAATAAATACAGGCCAGTAAGAGCATTCAGGAATGTTATGTAATATGTACCTATCCTGCTAAAATTAGGTCTTCCCCAACCAGGGCTCCCTGGACATCACCTGGAGCTAACCACAAATCTGTTTGTCTTTAGAAAATACCACAGTGCTACATAAACTATTTACACCAAAAACTGACAAGCAACTGCCCAACAGTATTGATCTGAACATTACTGTATAATATTCATAAACCCATTTCAGTAAAACAAAATTGCTAGGATTGGCCAGGGGAGTGCATAATTTTCCAGATATCTACCTCTTATTTTTGTAGTAACAGCCTTCAATTCTAGCTTAAATTTGTCTTTATGTATTTATAGTAATGTAGCAGCCCATTGTATATCTTTAAATCCTGAAGTAGTATTTCAGAAGATTTTTTCAGAGGCTAGGAACTTAGGTGTTTGAAGTAACACTATGGATTTCTACCTTTTTTTTTTTTTGAAACAGTCACACTAGGTAGAGTGCTGTGGCATCGTAGCTCACAGCAACCTCAAACTCTTGGGCTTAAATGATCCTCTTGCCTCAGCTTACTGAGTAGCTAGGACTATAGACACTTGCCACAAACCCAGCTAGTTTTTTAGAAGAAACAGGTCTTGCTGTTGCTCAGGCTAGTCTTGAACTCCTAAACTCAAGCAATCCACCAGCCTGGGTCTCCCAGAGTTCTAGGATTACAGGTGTGAACCACCATGCCTGACCTGGATTTCCAAATTGTTTTCTTGTTGTTTGTTTTTGTTTTAGCAGGCCTGGGCCCACTAGCCCTGGAGCACGTGGCCAGTGCCCTAACTACTGAACAATGGTTGCCCAGCCTGATTTCCAGATTTTTAAAAAATTACTCAAATGGAATATTCAGAGGAAGTAGGATGTTGAGAGGTCCACTTGTAGAGCTTTCATTAGTCACTTCTAAGGCTGAGCTATTCCATTCATAGCAACAAGCAGCCAAAGGCTTATTAAATTATTAGATAATCAGGCTAGGCACAGTAGCTCACCCTTTAATCCCAGCCCTTTGGGAGGCCAAGGTGGGAGTATCACTTGAGATCAGGGGTTCAAGACCAGCCTGAACAGTATAATGAGATCTCTATCTCTATCAGAAAAAAAAGGGAGGGTATAATTAATTTTCATTTAATTAGGCCAGGCTTGTGCCTGTAATCCTACCACTCTGGGAGACTGAGGTGGGAGGATGGCTTGAACTCAGGAGTTTTAGACCAGCCTGAGCAAGAGCAAGACCTTTTACTCCCAGCTACTCAGGAGGCTGAGGCAGGAAAATCATTTTTTCGTTTGTTTGCTATTAAATTGGAGTTCCTTCTATATTTCATACATTGCCTTTTTATTAGATGTTGTATGCAAATATTTTCTACCACTGTATAGGTGGCCTATTACTTTTGTTGATTCAGTCATCTCATTTCTGGGTGTATACCCAAAGGAAATAAAATTACAATCTCAAAAGAGTTGTCTGCTGTTCATTACAGCATCATCTAAAATAGCCAAAATAAGGGGGAAACAAAACAAAACACACATATCCACCAAATAATCCAATTAAAAAATCAACAAAGGACCTAAATAGACCTTTCTCCTAAGAAGACATACCATTTGACAGCCAACAAGTACATGGAAAGGTGCTCAACATAATTCTAATCAGAGAACTGCAACTCCACCATAAAATAAGTTCAAACACCTGTCAGGATGGCCATTATCAAAAGAATAAGAGATAAGGAGTGCCGGCCAGCCTGTGGAGAAAAGGGAGCTTTTCTTCTCCACTGATGAGTATGTAAATTGGTGCAGCCCCTGTGAAAAACAGTATGGAGGTCCCTCCAAGAACTAAAAGCAAGTCCGGATCTTTCTGAGCCACCCATATCTTTACTCTAACCACACTTCCTCCTTCCAACCCCCCAGCACCGTGTACCCTCTGCTGATCCCAGACCCAACTGGATCGCCACTGTGGAAGCCTCCAAGGTCCCACACCTATCTCAGTCTCCACTGTTCAACACAACTGCAGGCTTTCAGCTGCCTGTTTCTGTCTGGCATGTAAACCTCTACAACACTGCGGCATCACTTCACTTCACTTTCCTTGCCTGAGCTATACAGTAAGCTCCAGAAAGGCACATTTTTATTTTTATTTTTTTTTATTTATTTAGACAGAGTCTCAAGCTGTTGCCCTGGGTAAAGTGTGTTGGCCTCACAGCTCACAGCAACCTCAAATTCTTGGGCTTAAGCGATTGTTCTGCTTCAGCCTCCCAAATAGCTGGGACTACAGGTGCACGCTACAACGCCCTGCTATTTTTGTTGTTGTTGCAGTTGTCTTTGTTGTTTTAGCTGGCCCTGGCCGGGTTCAAACCCTCCAGCTTCGGTGTATGTGGCTGGTGCCCTACCCACTGAGCTACCGGCGCCACCCTATTTTTATTTTATTTTATTTTTTGAGGCACAGTCTCACTTTCTCACCCTGGGTAGAGTGCAATGGCGTCACAGCTCACCGCAACCTCAAACTCTTGGGCTTAGGAGATTGGCTTGCCTCAGCCTCCCAGGTAACTGGGACTACAGGCACCCTCCACAACGCCCGGCTATTTTTAGAGACAGGGTCTCGCTCTGGCTCCGGCTGGTGTCAAACTACTGAGCTCAGGCAATTCACTGCCTGGCCTCCCAGAGGAAAGGCACATTTTTAAAAGGCAAAAGATTTATGCGATCTGAAGAAAAACCAGAGTATGAAATGTGTGGCACATAGTAGACGCTAAATAGATATTTGATGAATTAAGAAAAAAATAATGCGAAAGATTCTTTTCCTTTAGTAAGCAGAGGCAGAGAAGGAATGAAATTGAGTTCCAACAGCAAAACAAAGGGTGGAGAGACGTACTGTTCCCACCGCCAGCGCCCCCTTCCCACCGGATCCTTTCCCACAAACGTTAGGAACAGACTCAGGTTTGGAATGGGAGACAATTTCCAGCAAGAGAAACTCAGTGACCCAAGGATGAATGCATAACACCCCTCTCCGGTAGGCTCTGAAACAGGACATAGTAATTTTGTAAAGGGACTTGGAAGGCACGGCCTTTTCAGTCCATCCTAGGAGAAAGCGCGCAGCTGTTTTGCTGAAAGAGATTTAGGTTAGATGTCATTTCAAGGCCGCAGCGCCATTTTCGGCCGGCTTCCCGAGTCTGCCGAAGGTGCAGGGGGAGGGGGTCCTGGGCTTGACAGGGACCCACCCGGCTGCGGGGCCCCTTACCGCCCGCTGGCCTCACACCTCCTGTGGCGCCACTGTGGCCGGTCTATCTTGGGCACCCGGGGTGGCGCGGTGTAGGGTGCTCACTATCGGGGTCTGGGGCACAGGGATGCGGGTTGCAAGTAACAGTCATGGGCTGTTTTGGCGTGCGCCTCTGGGGGCCCGAGGAGCGGCGGTTTTGCTAACTTGGTTTTCCAGTCCTATGCTGGGTGAAGCTTCTTCATTGGTCCATACAAAAGCTCTGGGTCTGATGGCGTTGAATCCCAATTCCGTCCCCTTGGTCGCCAGATACTGACCTCTGTTTGAGACCCGCGCGCGCGCCCCATCATCCTGGCTCTTCTCCCGCGCGCCGCAAACCTCGGACGCTCTCCGGATTCCCCGCACTTTACGTTGCTGATTTCTCTCGGGATCGCGTGTACCTAGCTAGATACAAGGGCAGCGGTTTATTCCTCCGGAAAGTGAATCCATTTTTCCTCCTATGCCAGATATTTCCCAAAGCCCACACGCTAAGCAGCGGTGGGTGACAGGTCGCCTTTGTTCCCGGGCGCCTACGGGTGGACGTATCCCAAGTCTCAGTACTCAGCGCGCACCCCAGGCAAAGCCGGGTCGCTCCTGGTCGGTTCCTTCTCAAGTGCAGTTTTCCCGAGGCCCTTGGATTCTTCCGTTTTTTTTTAATTCCAGTTCTCCCGCTTAGAGAGATACACACACACATATACACACTAAATTTTATAAGCAAATATATACATAAAGAAAACACCTACATATGTCAACCCATTCCATTTTACTAACATCAACAAAAATGCAACACAATCTTTTTTCCAAACTTTTTTTTTTGTCTTAGGATTGGAATTGTGTTAACTTTTCTTCTTTTCATAA